CCTGTCTCTCCACAGAGACTAACAAGCGTTACGCAGGAGACAGGGTGACAGTTCTTATGTAGGTAAGGGGCGGGGCCAGCCAGTAACATTATCCGAGTGACCCCGCCCCATGTCACATGCTTGATGTTCCCAGCTGGCCCCGCCCCTTACCTATATAAGAACTGTGAGGCTGTCTCATAACGCTGGTTAGCTTCTGTCGGGTACGTAACTTTTTTTTTCTTTTTTCGGGTCGCCGCCGTGACATCGTGATTGATGTTGGATCTACTTCGGGGGACATTGTTTTAATAAAGGACTTGTCAAAGACCGTGTACTGTTTTTTTTTTTACACTACACTTTTGTTTTTTTTTTGTGAATAAGTAGCGGTACCATGTACCGCAGACTCATTCACGTAGGGGGGCGGGATCTGGGGGCCCCCTTGTTAAAGGGGGCTTCCAGATTCTGATAAGCCCCCCACCCGTAGACCCCCACAACCACCGGCCAGGGTTGTGGGGAAGAGGCCCTTGTCCCCATCAACATGGGGACAAGGTTCTTTGGGGGCGTAGCCCCCCTGCCCCAAAGCACCCCCCCATGTTGAGGGCATGTGGCCTGGTAAGGTTCAGGAGGGGGGGGAGCTCTCTCGTCCCCCCCCCTTTCCTGACCTGCCGGGCTGCATGCTCGCATAAGGGTCTGGTATGGATTTTAGGGAGAACTCCACGCCATTGTTTTTTAAATTTTGGCGTGGAGTTCCCCCTTAATATCCATACCAGACCCGAAGGGCTTGGTATGGATGGGAGGGGGAACCCACGCAGTTTTTTTTATTATCTAATTCACGGAAATTATTAAAATTCAGCTGTCAGTGGGAAAATTTTTATTGAATTTAATTAGGGACATGTGCGTTTTAGTACATTCAAGGGCGTTTCAATGCGTTCCAGTACAGTTCTGTGCATAAACAATGCAGCGTGGTCAACTTTGTTTACAGCACCTGCAATGCACTGAAAATGCAAGCGCTGATGTGAACTATGACATTGACAACCATATAACTCATATGCAAACAGAAAAACGCCAAAGCCCTCGGTTGTGCGCCATCTAGTGAACATATCCGGTATTGCACCTAAAAATGTGCCAGACGTGATTTCACATTTACTAAGAGCAAAGAGTCTACAAGTAGACACTTTTCAATGAGTTTGCTAGACGCCTTTCAGAAAACTGACAGGTCTAGATTGTTTGAATTGAGTCTGCCTGAATGTTCAGCGTCTACTAGTAGACTCTATTCTTAGTAAATCAGGGCCAGAGTGTTCTCACAGTCCAAAATCACACAGATTTACGCTCACCACAATATAGTTTGGTTGCTCCCCAGTCTGTCCTGCACAGCAAACTGGTTCCAGATTGGAGCATCCTCCCTAAGTACCCTGGGAGTTTTATAGAGCCCAGAGCCCTTAATCTACTACAGCTGAGCTAATTACAACAGTGAGCCAAACACTACACAGCACAAGAGAAGCAGTCTGTGTAAAGCATGAGCCTGGGACAAATATATCTCCCATCCTGAACACATCCCTTTGTTCTTCCTGACCTCCTATCACAATAGTTATTATCAGAGATACCTCCAAATGAATGTTTCTGCAAAGTCCAGTTGCAGGGGTCCCTGAAGATGATGCAGTGTCTGCCTTTGTGTCAGAGATCTGAAGACATCTGTTAGACATATCTCAATATTAACAGCTCTTTCCTACAAGCGATCCATTCCTCTTACTTCACAGCCACTAGATCATTGTACACCCAACACTATACTTCCTTCAACATGTGGTTTCAGCACTCCATCTTTAGGACATAATTGTCTGTCATCCTTTTGCCCTGTTCCTAAGCATCTTAATAAAGTCACTCAACGTGGTCTGGACGTTGTCAGAACCATTAAAGCATACATAATGTCTACTTCCTCTTTTAGACAGAGTCCTTGTTTGGTCTTCCTTCAAACACTTGCACAGGGCACCCCACTGCAAACCCACCATGGCTAGGTGGGTAAGGTGTTTAACCACTTGCCCTTTAGAGGATTTACCCCCCTTAATGACCAGGCCTCTTTTTGCTACTCTGTGCTGCACTAATTCAACTGATAATTGCGCAGTCATGTAATGCTGTACCCAAACAAAACTTACGTCTTTTTTTCCCCACAAATATAGCTTTCTTTCTGTGGTATTTGATCACCTGTGCACTTTTTATTTTTCACGCTATAAACAAAAAAAGACCAAAAATTTTGAAGAAAAATTATATTTTTTACTTTCGGCTATAAAAAATATATAGTAAACTCAAAGTTAGTTATAAATTTAGGCCAAAATGTATTCTGCTACATGTTTTTGGTAAAAAAAAATCTCAATAAGTGTATATTGATTGCTTTTGTGTGAAAGTTATAGCATCTGCAAACTATGGTATAGATACTGCAATTTACGCCATTTTTTTGATATACAGCGCTGCACTAGTTTATTGGACAATGCGCGATCATGCAATATGGTACATAAATGAAATTTATGTCCTTTTTTCACACAAATAGAGCTTTCTTTTGGTGGTATTTGATCACCTATGCACTTTTTAATTTTGGTGCTATAGACAAAAAAATTTTGAAGAAAAAAACATTTAAAAAAAAACAAACTATATTTTCTCATTTCAGTCATAAAAAGTATCCAAAAAAACTAAAACTTCATCATAAATTTAGGCCAAAATGTATTCTGCCAATAAGTGTATATTGATAGCTTTGTGTTAAAGTTATAGCATCTACAAACTATGGTATAGATAATAGAATTTACACAGCTTTTACTTTCTGACTGCTTATCACATTTCTTAAGGTGCTAAAATGCCAGGACAGTACAAACACCTCCAAATGACCCCTTTTTCGGAAAGCAGACACCCTAAGCTATCTGCTGAGAGGCATATTGAGTCCATGGAAAAAAAATTTTTTTTCCACAAGTTTTGGGAAAATGACAAAAACATTTTTTTTTTTTACACAAGTTGTCATTTAAATGATTTATTTCTTGCACAAGCCATGGGTATATGTGGAATTACACCCCAAAATACATTCTGCTACTTCTAACAAGTATGGGGATACCACATGTGTGAGACTTTTTGGGAGCCTAGCCACCTGCCGAAGCCTGAAATCCAATGATCACTTTGAAACTCAGAAGGCGCGTAACTTCCTCATTTCACTTCCTCACTACCTATCACAGTTTCGGAGGCCCTGAAATGCCAGCATAGCACCAACCCCCTCCCCCCAAATTATCTACTTTTGGAAAGTAGACACCCCAAGGAATTTAAAAAGAGGCATGGTGAGTATTTTGAAGATCTCATTTTTTCTTACAAGGTTTTTAAATAGAAAGAAAAAATATATTTTTGTTTTCTTTTTTCATTTTCCAAAAACTTGTGGCAACAAACGAGATCTGCAAAATACTCTTCATGCTTCTTATCAAATTCCTTGGTGTGTCTACTTTCCAAAAAGGGGTCATTTTGGGGAATTTTGTGCTATCCTGGCAATTCAGGGCCTCTGAAACTGTCATAGGTAGTAAGGAAGTATAATGAGGAAATAAAGCCCTTTAAAACCCTGAAGATGCTGATTGAATTTTGGGGTCCTATACTTGGATAGACTTCCAAAACATCTCTCATCTGGTACCCCCCATACTCAGGAGAAGTAGCAGAATGTATTTTGGGGAGTAATTCCACATATACCCATAGCATGTGTGAGCAGTAAATCATTTAAGTGACAATTTTGCGTAAAAAAAAAAAAAAAAAATTTTTGTCATTTTCCAAAAACTTGTGGTAAAAAAATAAATTCTTCTATTGATTCAACATGCCTCTCAGCAAATAGTTTGGGGTGTGTACTTCCCAAAAAGGTGTTGTTTTGGGGGGTGGGGGAATTTTATGCCCAGCATTGGAAGTTTATGCCACACATCATTCACTCTTCTAATCACCTGAAGATCAAGCCTTTTCTGACATTTTTTGTTCACATGAAAACAAATCAGTATTTTTTGCTAGGAAATTAATTTACACCCCCAAACATTATATATTTATTTAAAGCAGACACCCTAGTGAATAAAATGGTGGGTGCTACAATTGTTTATGTCACATAATACTTGCGCAGCAATTTTTCAAATGCATATTAAAAAAAAATTACACTTTGTTTACTTTTATTGCACAAAAACACAATATATTGGCCAATTATTTGGTAATATATAAAAGATGATGGTATGCCGAGTAAATAGATACCAAACATGACATGATTTAAAACTGCACATGCCCCTTGCAATGGTGACAAACTGCATACGTTTTTAATATCCATAGGGAACGCTTTAAAAGCCTTTACAAGCTACCATTTTAGATTTACAGAGGAGGTCTAGTGTTAGAATTTCTGCCCTTGATCTGACGTTCACGGCGATACCTCACATGCATGTTACATACTGGCACAGGGTCAACGCTCGCGCACACAGGTGTGCATGCGCGTGGGGGGGGGCAGTTTTTTTTTTTTTGTTATTTTGATTTTTTTAAATAATTTTTACACTGTCCCTTTCATTTTTTTATCACTTTTAATGCTCTCACAGGGAATGCAAATATCCCCTATAACTTCAATGGGCATTGTCATATATACTTTTTTGAGAAATCTGGGGTCTATCCGACTCTAGATATCTCCCCTGCCCTTACATTATCTAATCAAACCAAGATTGGTGTGATCAGATGCTTTCCCAATTTACAAATGGCACTGTTTATATCATGTGAAACTGAAGTGATGAAATGCTCGTAGCTTTCAATTTCTTAGACTATAGAGATGATTGGCACCATTCTGGTCTCCGCTGCTTGTAAAAGCAATCCTGCAGCTAATTAGCCACTCGGATTGATTTTACATGAAAGCCGATCACCGGATGAAAAAAACGAGACCAGGATGATGGCTGCAGCTGTAGGCATCATCCTGATACAACCAAAGTCCAGGGATGTACCAGTAAATCGCTGATCCTTGTTGGGTACTGTATATATGCTATGTTCTTTTTTTTTTTTTGTATACAGCCTGTGGGCTGATGAAAAAAAGAGAAGAAATCTGTCAGAAAAAGTGTGTGGTATGCCCACCATTGGAATATACCACCCTGCATCCACTCACTTCTAATGGTGGGCACACATTAGGTCACAAGGTGCCACATGCACCAGTTCCAAGATTGTAAATGTCTAAATAGTGGCACGCTTGAATAAAAATTGTCCACGTATAAGTGGTACCCATATGGAAAAAGGATGACACCAAGTCCCACACTATCTTGCCACTGCTCCCCATGTAGTCTGGGCATCCAGGGGGCTCCATGTGACTATGTTTTCTCTCATAAATCCGAAACATATATGTATAGCCTGTTGCCCTCTCAGAGGTCTTATACATCTTGACCCCATATCTGGCACGCTTGCTGGGGAGAAATTGTTTGAATGCAAGGCAGCCAGAAAAATCAACGAGGGACTCATCAATGCAGATTTTTTGCTGGGCAGTATAGACATCTGCAAATTTTTGGTTATGGTGATTTTCGAGGGGCTGAATTTTGTGGAGGGTCACCCCGAGGACAACAGAGTGTATTGTCGTTGAAATGCATAAAACACATTATACACTCATATCTATGCCTGGCCATGACAGCAGAGAACAGGGGCATATGGTGAATCAGGTCTGTGGACCAATACAACCGCAATTCATTTTTTTAGCAATGCCCATGTTGTGGGTTAGGCCCCCCAAAAAATTTAAATTTGGAAACCTTAATGAGTTTCCATGTGAATGGTCTGGCAAGGTTTGAATTTGGGTTGGCGGCGATAAATTGTTATGCATATAAATTGCTTTGATCCACAATCAATGCATACAGATCTTCTATGAAAATCAGCTCCAAAAAATCAAGAGGAGTAGTTAAATTTTCTTTTTCCACCTGAATTCCAGGCTGGGCAGTGAATGGGGAAGTATGGGTGCTGCAGAATTTGTGCTCTGCCAATCGGGATTTGCAAGCAAATCGAGAAGGATACTAGGGGCTCTTCGGGCCTGTGTGTGAATTCTTGATGGTTGCGGGACAATACTTGTGCTCGCCACTGCACCAGCTTGTACTGCACTTACGGGACTCACCACGTCACCAAGTCATACTGCAGTGCTGGTATTTAATATTATTATTATACAGGATTTATACGGCGCCAACAGTTTTCTCAGCACTTTACAATATAATGGGAGACAATACAGCAACAATACAGTTCAATACAAGAGGGTTAGGAGGGCCTGATCCTGGGAGCTTACAATCTAAGAGATATGTGAAAGACCAGGATGTACTAGGCCACTAGTGCTCGCCAGTTCACCAAAAGGTAGCGTGGCACTAGTACTGGCACTCTGTTGCATATGAGAGTCATCAAAATTTACTGACAAGTGCTAACAGACATCAGGCCTGATTATGCGAACACTGTGATTTTGTGTGCAATATATCAAGTGACAGTGACCTACTGACACTGCACATGTTGGAGGACATGGGGGGGGGTAAGCGTAGGGGCTAAACACAAGTGCTGGCAGGTGCCGGGGCTGATCCCACTAACGCTGCGTTTTTGGGGACGCTATACTAATGTGAATGCTGATATAGTGCTGATCTGATCAAAGATATTGATCCGTTCAGACACTATACTAGCAATGGAGGTTTATTGTGTATGAGCATCTTCCTGGCAATCAAGGGGTTAAATGTGATTACTGGTGTACTAGCGGGCAATCTGATGCCATCTGGGAGGGGCGTGAAAACTGCGGGAGCACTAATCAGGTATATATATATATATGTGATTTTGCGCACCTGTCAGGTCAGGAAGTGGTAACAGAAGCGGTTTGTGTTACGGCGCTACAGTATTTTAACTGAAAATTGCGCGGTCATGCAACGCTGCACCGAAATGAAATTTACGTTTTTTCCCCACGAATTAAGCTTTCTTTCAGTGGCATCTGATCACCTGTGCGTTTTTTATTTTTTGCGCTATAAAAAAAAAAGAGCGACAATTTTGAGAAAAAAAAAATTATATTTTCAATTTTTTGCTATAAAACATAAAAAAAAAAATTTTAAATCAAATTTCATCATGAATTTTGGCCAAAAAATATTCTGTGACATGTCTTTGTTAAAAAAAATCCCAATACGTGTAAATTAATTGCTTTACTTTAAAGTTATAGCATTTACAAAGGGTGGTATAGATACTGGATTTATTTTTTTTTTTATATTAATGATCCAATAATGGCGGCAATCAGCAACTTATGGCGGCAATCAGCGACTTATGGCGGGACTGCGGCGGACATTCTGACACTGGAGGGGAACTGACTTGGGTTCACTGACATCCCCAGTGACATCAATACAGTGATCAGTGCAAAAAAAAAGCACTGACACTGTACTAATGGCACTGGGGAGGAAGGGGTTAACATTTTTAGGCAATCAAAGGGTTTACTGTGTAAGGGGAGTGTTTCACTAGGCAGTGGGGGTGTGTGCTTCACAGGAACACACTGTCCCGGAAAGCTAAGCTCTGCTCTTTGGAACAGTGTGCTGGAAATTGACAAGGAGAAGAGCTGCATTGAAAACAATGCAGCTGTGCTCCCTGTCAGTGTTTGCCAGGATAATCGCCGGGACCTGGCGGGTAATCACCGGCCGGGTCCCAGTGATTGACATCCACAGCCGCAATTGGTGCCGCGGGTAGGTCGGGCATGTGCCCCTTACCATGTAAACAGAATGACGTTTATAAATGTGATCCTGCCTACAGGGGCCGCTTTGCCGCAGTAAATGTACTGTGGGCGGTCCCCCTAGTGGTTAATCACTACAGCTGAGGCTCAAAACCACACACTTCCTGCCATGCTGTTATGCACATACTCCACCACATTTGTTGGAGGATCTTTGGCTTTTAGGCATTAAGCCTCTGGCGCCGAATTCTGTTACACCACCACCACCTGGTTTTCTGTTCATTTTCATGTTTTTTTCTTTTTTTTTTGGTTACCATGTCTAGCTTCTGCTGACACAGCTTTAGTTGCATGGCTCCTGTAGCTGCAGTTGAGCCAAATGGCACAGTTCTGTTGCTTAATTGTTGCCCACCCTTGTATTCATTGCTTTTGGATATCCCATGGAGTATAAACAAGATACCTGTGTCCTGTTCAATCAACATAATAGGAAATTTGACTTACCTGTAAATTCCATATCTTGAAGTACTGTACAGGACATCCTCAACTCACATTCTTACTCAACTTTTATTCCAGTTACAGCCCTATAGCCCTACCCCATTCTGTGAGTCCTCAGTTTTGTAGGAGAGTAAGAAAGTCTTGCATAGCTGTACAGGATTGTTTCCTGTACTGAAATTGCTTATTTTGATTTCACTACACACATGAGATTCTCACAATGAAGAAAGCAAGTCAGATAGAGCCTTCTTCATTTATTGGTTAGATGAGACCCAACATCTAGCGCTTTTCTGCCAACCCTGACTGTTCCTGGTGTTCCACTGCCATTTATTGGATTTCAGTTCTTTTAAAGTTTAACTCCAGGTTTCTTGTGACGTTAATTACCGTATTTTGCGCCCCATAAGACGCACCTAGGTTTTAGAGGCGAAAAACATGAAAAAAATATATTCTGAACCAATGGACTGCAGACATAGTACAGGAAATGACCAGAGACTGCGGACACAGTACAGGAGATGACCAGAGACTGCGGACACAGTACAGAAGATGACCAGAGACTGCGGACACAGTACAAGAGATGACCAGAGACTGCGGACACATTACAAGAGATGACCAGAGACTGCGGACACAGTACAGGAGATGACCAGAGACTGCGGACAGTATAGGGGATGACCAAGAGACTGCGGACAGTATAGGGGATGACCAAGAGACTGCAGACATAGTATAGGGGATGACCAAGAGACTGCAGACATAGTACAGGGGATGACCAGAGACTGCGGACAGTACAGCAGATGACCAGAGACTGCGGACGGTATAGGAGATGACCAGAGACTGCGGACAGTATAGGAGATGACCAGAGACTACGGACAGTACAGGAGATGACCAGAGACTGCAGACAGTACAGGGGATGACCAGAGACTGCGGACATGGTGCAGGAAATGACCAGAGACTGCGGACAGTGCAGGAGATGACCAGAAACTGCAGACAGTACAGGGGATGACCAGAAACTGCAGACAGTACAGGGGATGACCAGAGACTGCAGACAGTACAGGGGATGACCAGAGACTGCAGACAGTACAGTGGATGACCAGAGACTGCAGACAGTGCAGGAGATGACCAGAGACTGCAGACAGTACAGGGGATGACCAGAGACTGCGGACACGGTGCAGGAAATGACCAGAGACTGCAGACAGTGCAGGGGATGACCAGGGACTTCAGACAGTGCAGGGGATGACCAGGGACTTCAGACAGTGCAGGGGATGACCAGGGACTGCAGACAGTGCAGGAGATGACCAGAAACTGCAGACAGTACAGGGGATGACCAGAGACTGCAGACAGTGCAGGAGATGACCAGAGACTGCAGACAGTGCAGCAGTTGACCAGAGACTGCAGAAAGTGCAGCAGATGACTAAGAGAATGCGGACCTTTGGGGAGGGAGGGGGAGCGGGTACCTGAATTTGACAGTTACCCGCTCCCACTTCCGCAGAGTTGTCCTCCCTTTAGTGTGGGCTGACAGCCCGGTGCCCACTGCGCATGTGCGAGAAGCGCTGCACTTTGTGTTTGGTCCGGCGTCTTCTGGGACCTGTCATGTGTCCCAGAAGACGCCGTACTATTCACAAAGTGCAGCGCTTCTCGCGCATACGCACTGGGCACCCAGCTGTCACAGCCAAGAGCTCACACTAAAGATGCAGACGCAGGAAGCCTTTGCAGTGCTGGGCCGAGGAACATGTAAGGTCCTGCTGCAGAGAAGAGATGAGCGGCCGGCCCAGTATTCTGACACGGCGGCAGCGGGAATACCGGACCGGCCGCTCCATTTTTGCTCCATAATACGCACTGACATTTTCCTCCCTTTTTTGGGGGGAAAAAAGTGCGTCTTATGGAGGGAAAAATACGGTAGTTTGTTTGGTCCAAGCAAACTAATACCTTTACTAACAGATGTACCTGCTAGGAGTCACTTCCCATTACTAGGTATATAGGAGAGAAGAAGTAGTTCCCTGGGTCTATTTCCATGGAAAGGAAGAAGAAGGCCACAAAAATATAGGACGAAAACATTGGAAAAGGTGAGATAGACTGTTGTTCATATGGGAAGTGTCAAAGCTACAGGTGTGCAGACCACTGACACAGCTGAAGTCACAACTTATGTTTGAATAATGGGTCTATTATTTTGATTCTTCTTTTTTAAATCACGATCACACAATTTGTATTTAATTATCTGTCAATATTTATTCTGATTAATTAGTTTTTGATTGTAGTCACTCATTATATATTTTTATCTTGGTAGTTGGGAGCGCAACATTTACTGATATATGGATTAATTGCACAGTTGGAGTATGTGTTAAATGTTAGCAATCCATAGAAGCTTATTGTTTTTGGCTCACAAGTTATATACACTTATTAATCTCGGACACCTGTGATAATTAGATTGGCAGGTGTGCCCAATTTAAGGAAAAACTATTAAAGGAGGGTGTTCCACATTATTAAGCAGAGCACCATTTTCAAGCAATATGGGGAAGAAAAAGGATCTCTCTGCTGCCGAAAAGAGTGAAATAGTTCAATGCCTTGGACAAGGTATGAAAACATTAGATATTTCACGAAAACGTAAGCATGATTATCGCACTATTAAGAGATTTGTGGCTGATTCAGAGCACAGACAGGTTTGTTCAGATAAAGGCACATTGAGGAAGATTTCTGCCAGATCCATGCATCAGATCAAGAGAGCAGCTGCTAAAATACCATTACATAGCAGCAAACAGATATTTGAAGCTGCTGGTGCCTCTGGAGTCCCACGGACATCAAGGTGTAGAGTCCTCCAGAATCTTGCAACTTGCATAAACCTTCTATTCGGCCACCACTAACCAATGCTCACAAGCAGAAACGGCTGCATTGGGCAGAAAAATACATGAAGACTCATTTTCAAACAGTCCTGTTCACTGATGAGTGCCGTGCAACCCTGGATGGTCCAGATGGATGGAGTAGTGGATGGTTGGTGGACAGCCACCCTGTTCCAAGAAGGCTGCGACATCAGCAAGGCGGTTGTGAAGTCATGTTTTGGGCCGGAATCATGGGAACAGAGCTGGTCGGCCCCTTTAGGGTCCCCGAAGGTGTAAAGATGACCTCTGCAAAGTATGTGGAGTTTATGACTGACCACTTTCTTCCCTAGTACATAAGGAAGAACTATGCTTTCCGTAATAAAATCTTCATGCATGACAATGCACCATCTCATGCTGCAAAGAATACCTCTGCATTAATGGCTGCTATGGGGATAAAAGGAGAGGAAGTCATGGTGTGGCCTCCATCCTCCCCTGACCTCAATCCTATTGAGAACCTTTGGAGCATCCTCAAGCAAAAGATCTATGAGGGTGGGAGGCAGTTTACATCCAAACAGCAGCTCTGGGAGGCTATTCTGACATCTTGCAAACAAATTCAAGCAGAAACTGTCCAAAAACTCACAAGTTCAATGGATGCAAGACTTGTGAAGCTGCTATCAAATAAGGGGTCCTATGATAAAATGTAACATGACCTGTTAAAATGTTTAAAAAGTTAAAATGTTGTTAAATGTTTGCTTGAAATAGCTTTTGATTTCAGTAAATATGCTGCAAACACAACAAATGACAATTTCCAGTTCTTTACAACCTATAAAGTGTTTTGAAACTTACTGTGTGTAATAATTTGGAACAGTGCATTGTAAGTTTTTTATGTTTAAAAAAAATACTGTTATCATTAGGTGGTTTGTTCAATAAAATTTGAATTGTTCTCTTAATAGTTGATAACATGAGAATTATGCTGACTGTTATATATACAAAATGCAGCGCTATTAATAAATCATAAACAGTAGTGATAAAACACAGTCCAATAAAGGTGCTCCTTGATTCCTAGTGCACATGATAGGAATGCGCACTAACTAGAAAGCGTATAAGTAATACGCATATGAATCAATATCCTGAAGGTTCCCCTCTCCTTTCTGGTCTGGTCATGGGAATAGCTGGAAAAGATGGAGATCAAGCGCCCTCATGTGGTGAAGGAGTGGTCCAGCGGGTCAAAGAAGAATCAATCAAGATAAAGAGCCTGGGGATCAGACAAGTTCTGTCTTTAGACCTGAAAGTGTGAAAATTTACTGGGAAAATCAGTGAGTCAATCACAAAAGCAGAACATGACATTTTTGAAGGCATTCTGAGCTTCTTCAACCTTCACAGCTCCGAGTGATCCTTGTGTCAGATCCTGAGAGGGGGAATTTTATCTTGATTGATTCTTCTTTGACCCGTTGGACCACTCCTTCACCAGATGAGGGCGCTTGATCTCCATCTTTTCCAGCTATTCCCATGACCAGACCAGAAAGGAGAGGGGAACCTTCAGGATATTGATTCATATGCGTATTACTTATACGCTTTCTGGTTAGTGCGTATTCCTATCATTTGCACTGGGAATCAAGGAGCACCTTTATTGGACTGTGTTTTATCACTACTGTTTATGATTTATTAATAGCGCTGCATTTTGTATATATATTAATTTGGGGACTTTTTATGCGTTTTCCTTGAATGTTCAGCTGCTAAATTACTGAGAGCGCTTACTATATTTTATACATTTCTTCTTATGCTGACTGTTATTTACATCAATTATTTAGGTAAATGAGAAAAATATAATTTGCCTAATAAATTGGAACAGGGTGTATACCTTTCTCCAAGCAGGTGAATCTGTTAGTGAGGCAAATAGCTTGTTTGTACCAACTTGGTCCAAGCAAACTATTTAAATCCACAAGATACCTGGAGTTAGGCTTTAATCATGGATGCTCATGCGGGTGTTACTTAGGACAGTCTGCTGTTTTCAGATAGCAATGTACATCCACTCCCAACAACTATGACCTGCCTGCATTTCATAAAGAAACAGAGAACATTCAGGCAGACTCAGGCAGAATCTTCAGAAAGGTGTCTAGCAAGCGCATTGAAAAGTCTACTTTGTAGACTCTTTTCTGTTAGTAAATACAGAATCGCGTCAGGCACATTTCTAGATGCAATTCCGGATATGTTCGCTAGGTGGTGCACAACTGAGGGCTTTGTCCCATTGGCGTTTTTCTGTTTGCATAGGAGAATACTTATTTTAAAATAAAAAGCACACTTTTTTTTTTTTGCTGTTTCTCCAAAAATGAATGGCCAACTAATGCATTTCCTAAGGAATGTCATACATTCTATTTTCAAATGTCAAACATTTTCACACTTTTATCTCAAATAATTTGAATGTCTAGTTCTAATTTCCCAATATAATGATATATCTTCATTCTATTTAATCATGTAACTATTCTACATTCCAGCTCAAACTCTCCTACAGTGGCTTAGTGGTTAGTACTCAGGACTTACAGCACTTGGGTCATGGGTTCTAATCCCAGTCATGGCTACACCTGTCTGGAATTTGCATGCTTTCTCTGCACGGGTGTGTTTCTGCCAACACTCCAAAGACATGCTGTTAGGTTAATTGGGCCTAGTATATGTCTGAGTTTCTGGCCTTGGATCGTAAGCTCCTTGACATTTGTGAATGCCCAAAATATGGAGATCAATTTTCAAGGTTGTGTCAGTGCCAGGAATATTGATCAATCAATTAAGATTTTGGCTACTAAGTGGAAAGGGAGTGAATCTTACTTGCATCCTGTTCTTCTGACAAGTTT